TATAATATGTGTGTGTGTAGAAGTGAATCATTTACTGCTTGCAAACCAATGATGGTAAGATGATGTCATGGGGTAGGACTGGATAAGTCTGACTTCTTCCTACTCCATTCAAGCATGTACTAGGTATAAGCAAACTGATATTGGATTAGCATTTGTTGGATATGTGTAAAATTATGTGTGTTGATATATCAACTGTCTTTACATGCTTGAAAGAATAAATCAAATCAAATGATATCAAATCAAACCTGACACCTCTCCTATTAGAGGTGTCAGGTCCATTCATGGGAACAGCAAAGTAATTTCAGTGTACAGGGAAACACATTTCCTAACTGTGCATATGACAAATAAACACTTTGACCATTTGGCTACAGACACAGCGATCTAACTGGCTGAATACATTGTCAGACATAAGATTCAAAACCCTTTGTTCAACCAGTCAGTCAAAGGCCACTGAAGCAGTCAAAAGGCTAATGGCTGAATGTGCTAGCATAACAAAAACCTAAGACGTTACATCTTCAATGGAAGGCACATTCTCCATGGTCATTTAGCTGTAAGCTGTTGGACCTGCAACCTGTTTTGGTAAAATCTCACTTTTTACTGCTTTTCTTTATTATTTTTTTTACACTTTCCCTTTTTTAACTGATTTTGTGAATTGTTTATGACCTGTAACAACTAATCAAAAGTGTTACTTTTTAGGTTGCAATCTGTGGCTCCTGATGGATAGCATAGTGGACCAGAACAAACGCAGCACAAACACCACTGCTGAAGTTCAGCACTAGCTGGTTTAAAGCAACTTCCCACAATTACTGTACAGGCTCGCTATGAGTACTGGAGTAAACAAAAAACATTTACTCTTATCACATTTGCATTATGACAGTGCTATGATTGTGATTCAGCTGCACTTTACTTTAAACAGTGGGTGTCACTAGTGAACTTCTAGTAATGAAACATTCAGAAATTCAAGGGATTACAAACCCATTGCCTCAAAAAATTTAACCCAACCATTTCGCCTTATTTGCTTGTATTTACAGTGTTCCTTAGGGGTTTGTAAAAATGCAATGAAACAATGCTTAAAAATGTAGTATGTGTCAATTTATTCTAAATTGTATTGTGATGATAAATAATTTGGGTTTTAGAAAGCAAAAGAATAGATCTATTGTGCCTTAAATGAATTGCCTTTATTTAGGAATTCCTAAAATATTCAAAACAATTTTGTGTTAGCAAAATCACCTTGCAATATTTTCCCAGAAAGGATCATTCTGGAAGCTGATCTGAACCAGCTGTAAAAGAAAGCATAAATTAAAGGGTTCAGCATTGAATTTGACAGTGTAAGCCAGTTTAGTGCTTCAATCACCGGAACTGGTGGGGGATTATAAGCCAAAGGCTGAAAGACAATACAAAGAAAGTAAGGAGTCAAACACAAAAGAAAAACTCCCATAACAGTAGCCAGAGTTTTTGTAGCCTTTCTCTCTATTTTGCTAACAGTTGCTCCAGACTTTGTTCGCTGACAGGTTGTGTTCTGGATGCTGTTCATCTGTTTCTGAGCAACAAGGAAAATCTTCAGGTAGATACAGAGCATTATGATTGCTGGCAGATAAAATGAAAAAACAGGTCCTATAGTGTTTGCTACTGCAACATCAACTGAGCACATTTCTTTACATGTTCCTTGGCTGAACCCTGCAATTATAATGCCAATTCCTATTAGAGCAGAAACACCCCAGCTCAACAGGATCATCATCACAGAAACATGGACATTTATTTTTGTTCTGTATGTCAGGGGCTGACACACAGCATAATATCTATCTATGGAAATACAGCACAAGTTCAGAATAGATGATGTGCACAGTGATACATCAAAGCTGTCCCGTATTTTACAAAAAACATTTTCACGATACAGGCATGAGGTTACGGTGAATGCCATGCTAAAAGGAAAAACTAGTATACCCACAAGCAGGTCAGCCACAGCCAGGGAGAGGACAAAATAGTTTGTAGGAATGTGGAGCTGTTTGAAGTAAATGATGGAGATTATTACCAGAAGGTTTCCACAAATTGTGGAAAAGCATAATGAGCCAAGAAAAATATATACTAAAACGCATAGTATGGAAGGGTTGCTTGTAAATATATATTGTGTATTATTGAACTCATAGCAGAGATGGGTGTTATTAACAGTGTAAGTGCCATTGACAGTCAGCTGTGGTTCCATACTTCTCAATTTCTGCACTAACAATCTATTATATTGACAACATTTAAAAGATTTTTAGTTCAGCATGTATTACAACAACATCAGTATTTTAATGAAAAAAAACACATGATTCCCAAAAATGAGCTTTCCCTTACCTAGTAATAATATACTGTAGTCTAAGGACAGTATCCTTAGTCACAGTGCTGCTCTTGAGAACCTTTAGACTTCATAGAGTATTTATAAACCAATATTGCATTTCCTAAATTAACACCTGCTTTGGTAATCCAATCAGGTGTGGGCACCTACAGCCTGTTTGGATCAGATACTAATATACAGTGCTCCACTTTGTGGGTGTGTATGTGTAAGAGAGTGACTGTTCACCAGTCTTATAATAATCTTCATATTTTTTTCAAAAAATAAGGTACATTATGTACACTTAAAATATAAAGCATGCTGAGTGCTCTCCTTGGCAATATAGTTTAATTTAGTGTAAAGATTGTGAAAGATTAAAGACATTATCAATTGAAGTACCAAATTTTGGAATGGAAAATTTATTAATTTGTATTAATAAATCGGTTCAATCATTGGATATAGGTACACAGGTTGTGTAACATTTGAGTGCTTAATTCATACAAATTTTGGAATATATGTATCCCAAATAAGTATTCTCTGTGAGAGTACTGATGAGCCCTTATAGTTCTGCTGTGTCAGCCTGTAAAGAGTCTCACCCCTAATCCACACTACGGGCATTTTTAGATACGTTTTCTACACACATCTCATGCTGCAGATAGGATTGCATTCTACCAAATGTGTCAATCCCAAATTGGACAGCTTGATTTATGGTTCTGCTTGAATCTACACCATAGGTACAATGTTGGCGATGTGTAACATTGTGCCCTATGCCATGGGCTGACATGCCCCTCCCTAGAAATGTAATTGCACGTATCAGTGATGCGTGCAACAACAACTGTGACTGGTTGGTTCTCATTTTCTCGTTCATGTCTTTCAGTGGCCAGACAAGTTCTTGTTCTAGCTCAGTTGGTTCAGTGGTTGTACAGACAATCTCCTCCGACAGTTTCTATTTTTGCAGTAATTTCAGTAAAACTGCAGTTCACCATCCAACATGACTTCAGTTTCAATTGCCATTGTAAGTGGCAAAAAAATGCAACACAGTGGCATAGAGACCCTACCACCAATTAGCGTTTTGATGGTGTAACTGCAGGGTGACACAGAGACACCAGCGCGTAAGTATTAATGGTCCCAATGCTGTAGGCCACTTGCATAGGCCTATCTACACTTGCGTAGCCTACAGCATAGGCTCTGTGTAGATTCAGCGCAGAACGACAAATCAAGCTTTAGATGCATGTCTCCCCTGGGACCCTTGTGTTTTGTTTTCCCTCTGCCACATTTAGCGAAGTGTAAGCTCCACAGACAGCAGTTTAAATCACACAAATCCCCATTTATTTTCTGTTGCAAACTTTCTAAATGTATCTGTTATGATCAGGAGCCTGATACAACTCCAAGCTTTCTAGTTTCACTTTCACTTGCCCTCTGTAGTGAGCCATTGGAAAAGCAATGCAATCAATAAAACGGCAGGCTACTTCCTGATGAGCATACATGAAAACTATTTCTGTCCTGTACATTTGTGCTGTCTGTCCTTCTGGTCGAGTCTCTTTTTCTTGCTGCTGTCCTGCTGACAAATAGACAAAACATGCTGCTCACACCTTGCTTTCAGTGTGGAATCAGTTTAAGAAGTAAAGTTAACCTATATGCAAGTTTTTTTTTTGATAGCTTTAGCTAGGACATGGCCAGTGCTGAGTGACCCTCTGTGGTCAAGTGAGCTGCCATTGGTTTTTGCTTGGTTAAGTCAGCTGCACTTGTTTTCTGAGTGTGCAGTTTGTTCTACATTTAATGTAATCGCTGTGAGGGTAGGGTTGCCAACCCTCAAGAATTAGCTGGGAGACTCCCAGAATTGATTTTGGCCTCCCAGAAAAATCAAAATTCAGTCTGGGAGATTTTTTAAAATGTTTTTACAATATTGATTAAACACATGGAAAGAAAATGCTAGGAAAAATAAATTGCAAAAGGCAATTTTTACTTTATTGTAGGAATTTTGCTTCACTGGTCTTCTGCTTCGCCTTGTGTTTTTGTGATGTTGAGGTGCTGAAGCGACAACTCCTGTAGAGTGCTCTATGAATGCTGTCATCACAGCGCACTACGCTCTGCAACTTGAAGGAACCAACAGTCTGAACATGGAGGGGTGTCTGTGTGTGCTGGTCCAACTTAGTTCAATCAAATATAACCCTTAAGGAAAGTACCTAAAGCTAATTAAAACACTTGCATGCATGGATGCATCCATGACAGTACTACTAGTAAAAACAAACAAACAAACAAACACAAAACCTCTTGTGTGGCTCCCCTTCATGCATTCAGTGCCCTTTGCCACGGCCTGTTGCCTATGCCACGGGCCAGTCAAAGATCAACATGTGAGTCCATAAGTGGATGCAATGTCTATCCAGTCTAGTGAAAAAGCAATTTGTGGCCTCAGACATAAAAGGTCCAGTGCTAATGGAAAATGTTATTCTTACACATACACACCTCTGTATATGGATGGTGAATAATTCAGATCTTTCAAGTGTGCAGAGTTGTGGTTTGCAGTTGTTTAAAATGTTTCTTTTTCATTGTCTTAAAGCAATTCTCATGTTGACTGAAAGATCTACTGTTCCCTAATTGTAGACAATACTAGAACTTGGGTGCATCTTTGCAGCAAATGAGGGCTGTGGGTACTGCCCCCTAACATTAACAGTGTTGTTGCATTATGTAGAAACCACTTCCTATCTAGTATAAAAAGAAAGAAAATACTGCAATAACCAATAACTCTTTCAAAATATATATGGGCATTTATTGTCTTAAAACAAATTTGAAAATTTGTGTGTGCTGCAGGTGTGTGGAAGGTTTTTGTTATATTATTTCACTGCCCAGAAATAAATAATTTTTGTAAAATTCCTTTCAAGACAATTTTTACAGATTATAGTATCTGCTATCTGCAAGTGTTATTGCTTTGAAATTGCCAGTTTTTTTTTCCTGATATTGTTGGAAAAAATTGTGTACATACAATACAGTAAACAATATATAGAATATTATGTTGGTAAACAGTTAATCTTTATAGTTTCAAGCATTATCATTATTCTCAAATTACAATGGTATTTGAGTCTTCATAAGAAAATGTCAATAGAGTTTGGAGTTAGTAAAATCACCCTGGCATATTTTTCCAGAAATGATCATTCTGAAAGCAGATCTGAACCAGCTGTAAAAGAAAGCATAAATAAACGGGTTGAGCGTTGAATTTGACAATGTAAACCAGTTCAGTGTTTCAACCACAGCAATCGGTGTAACTTTGTATGTTAGAGGCTGAACAATCATACAAAGAAAGTAAGGAGTCCAACAGAGCAGAAAAACCCCCATAACAGTAGCCAGAGTTTTTGTAGACTTTCTCTCCATCTTACTGACTGCTCCTCTGGATTTGACGTTCTGACACGTTGTGTTCTGGATTTTGTTTGCCTGTCTTTGTGCAACAAGGAAAATCTTCAGATAGATACAAAGCATTATAATAACTGGGATATAAAAAGAGAAAATACACCCAAGTGTGGTTGATATTAAAGCATCCATTAAACAACTTTCTTCACATTTTCCTTGATTAAAACCTGCGGCTATTAAGCCAATTCCTATTAGAGCAGCAACTCCCCAGCTCGCCAGGATCATGGCCACAACAACACGATGAGTTATTTTACTTTTGTAAGTGAGAGGCTGACACACTGCAAAATATCTGTCAACAGAAATACAACTTAAGTTCAAAATAGAAGCTGTGCTCAGTGTAACATCAAAGCTGCCTCGTACTTTACAAAATAAATCCTCATAATACCAACATTGAGTTACAGTGAAGGCCATGTTGCAAGGAAAGACTAAAATCCCAACAAGCACATCAGCCACAGCCAGAGAGAGAATAAGGTAGTTAGTAGGGATGTGGAGCTGTTTGAAGTAAATGATGGAGATTATTACAAGGAGGTTTCCACATACGGTGACAATGGACAATGAACCAAGTAAAATATATAATAGTATACATATTAATGAAGGGTTGAATATAACTATGTGAGTTCCATTGTATGAATATTTAGTACTAGTTAACTACTAACTACTACTAACTAATATTACTAACAACAATGTCAGTGATTAAGAAGCAAAAACCAGAAGCTAAAAAACACACATGCAAAATTTGTATACCTTATGTTTCATACTACACCTCAACTTAGTCTATGCAGTAGTGTTGTTATTCACTGTGCAAGATTTTTGGACTTGATATTTATGTAGTCTACCCACCCCCCATTACCATAATTAATCCAAATATCTGTATCCCAGTCAGATGGTGTCCACTACATTCTATTTGCGTGATATGAATACACCAACCGTGTGTGTGTGTGTGTGTGTGTGTGTTTGTGTATGGGTGTCCTTGACTCTTTTATAACAGTGTCAAAGTACCTTTTTAAATTTGTCATTAAACTTATACTAGACAGTTACAAATGTCTTCCTTCACCATGAAGCAAGATCCTGAGAAAACATCACTGAAAAATACTAGACTATGCCAATGGCTTTTGTCTGGCAAGTTACAGCTATGTTGTTAGTTTTGCCTATATGTTAATTTTTTCAACTTGAGCTGTATCATGCTCAGGTTCTGACTTCCTGTCAGCCATGACACATCATTCCTTTGCCCTCTTTGTTATCTTTGTCTGCACTCAGATTTTGGCACAAGGCTTTTCATCTGTGCCTTGTTATCCTGCTTATATAAGCCCTCCAGCCTTGTCTGTCCACGCCAGATTGTCTCTTGCTACTTGTGGCACTTTCCAGTCATTTTTCTGTTAACCTGGATCCATACCTGATCCTAATCCTTTGAATAGTGATGGCAAGATGAGACCTCATGTCAAGGTTTCCCAGCCAACACTTTCATCAAAAGGCTCATCTCATGA